AAACGCTCAATGACCAAACATACATATTTAATCTAGTTTATGCCTTAAAGTCCTGTTTTTTTAGTGTAATAACCACAGAAGTAGCAGCAACAACAGGATGTGCCAAGGCAGACGACGACGAGTGAAAAATGTAAATAAAATATTGCACGGGTGGTGGGCTGAGCTGGGTGAAGTGGAGGGCAGGAGGATAAGGAGGCGCAGGAGCACAGGACCACTTGAACACGTTGTCAAGAAGTGTGGCTTGCTGTTTGCACACACAACTCGCATATATTTACGGGTCTGTTAGTATGTTTCTGGTCCATGGTGTGGGTGTGTCTGGCAGGAGTAGCAGCAGCAGCAGCATCAGCCAGGACACATTATGCGTCGTTTAAATAGCAATAAATCTTGCATAAAAACACGCGTCCAGCAACAAAAGGAGCTCCGAATGACAGACCACTTGACTGCAACTTTAATATGGAAAATCAGTTGGCTAACGACACTGCCAAAAGAAACCACAAAGTCATTGGGGGATATTTGCAAAGCTAATTTACCAGCAAGCTGGATTTTTCGGGTGCACTTGAGAAAAATTTGATTCAAAAAGTACACATTATATTATGGAATATTATAATTTTCAGAGGGAGCCTTATATAACATGGGTCATCAAGCCATTGGCTGCGCTCCATTAAATGATAAGCGAGAATGAAGTTGACCATCACCATGCCATCGGTGAGTCAAATTGAATTTTGCCCCAAGGCGCCGTCGCTGGCATCAATATTGACTCAAAGGGATCAGCGCTAAATGCTGCACGCACCGTCAACGCCATCCATCTTACTTAATGTCAGCTGCAGTGCCACCCCGCTGCTCCGGGGGCGACCAGCATCCGCATCCGTATCCTTGAGAGCACGGAGCAGGAGCAGTAACGTCAGCAGCAGCGGGCGGAACCCCAGCACTTTCCTCATTATGCGATGACAAAACAACAACTATTAAGCAGAGAAATTGGAGGAGGAGCAGGAGTAGGACCAGGAGCAGGAGCAGGAGCAGGAGCAAGAGAAGTAGTAGCAGCGGTCGCACTTTTATGATTTGCTAACGACACAAGCTGCGCGTCCTGGCGTTGCCTGTTTAAAAATCAATTTCATCGCCGCATGCAGTCCCTGCATTCTCCAGCCTTTGCTCCACCTCCGGCCCTCATCTGCGCTCCACCTTGGAACGAGCAGAAGCAGCAGGATCGGCCTCGTGCCTTCTGTTTATATTCCTGTCAGGCTGCGACAACGACAACGCCTCATACGCCCCGTGTACACAGTACACACGGCACAGCAAAAGCCAATAGACGTCAGCATGATGGGAACAGGCTTCAGCAGCCATCACGCAGCATCATCGTACAACGTCCTTTACCCATTCCTCAGATTCCCAACAGCCTTTGTCATACACTTGGAGAGATTATATAGGTCTATATTGTTAGGTAGGCTTTAAATATTTTCCTGCTCTTCTAGTCAGAGAGAGATAACAAAAGTATATATATTAGAATTATTAAAGTCCAATAGTCTATTATACAATATTAATAATATATTATTATTTTTATTGTGTAGCCCAAAACAGCCTCAGCCTTTGTTTCTGAAAGCAGCCGGCGTGCGTCAGGTGTGCCATTTTAATAAATTATGCAGCCTGCTAAATGCTTAAACAATTGAATTTTATATTTACATAATATGTAATGTGCTGCGACATCATTATGCAGACATCCATGGCTTGCACCATGGACAAGGTGGACTGGAACAAGGGAGAGGCAGGTGGCAGGAGGCAGTGGCAGACCCACCCGCATATTATTGAATTATGCGCCGTGCCGAGAGTGGCGGCCCAGAAATATGACACAAATTGTTGCAAGTTTTCGGGCCAAACTAAACAGCACAGGATGAACTCTCTATCTCTGTGGGGCAGTCGACCTCGTTCCCTTCCAGAGCGACAAATTTAATTTGACGTGTGACTGGTCGGGGTAAACTTTATTAATTATTTGGGTCTTTAATGATTTGTGTGCGTATCTGAAGGACTTTAAGAGATGTCCCGGGAATTCCAGCATCCAAAAATTTAACCTTCAACTTCGTTTCAACTCGTTTTAGATTTATTTACGAGGATTTGTATTTGAGGATTTGAAAAATCCACCAAAATTAAATCATACGCTGAGAATTTGCCATATTTTATTACAGCTCGTATAGTTTATATTGCCCGCATATATGTACATACGTATGTCTGTGAGTATCCTTAGACATTTATTTTTTTGGATTTCATGAGCTCCGTTTTATATTACGCATACGCCACTTGGGCCGACACGTAAGCTGCGCCGCCCGAACACATGCAGGCCCAAGTGCCTAATTACGGACATGTGTCGGAGCATCCTCCTCCGAGGGGCAGGATCGAGTGGGGATTGCGTGGCGTCTAATCAAAACTTTTATTTGCATGAAATTAAATTCAAGCAATTGCACTTAATTTGCCAAACAGGCAGCTATGGTAAATAAACAGACAGCGTGGGCCAAGGCAACCGATGAGCTGGAGCTGGAGCTGGGGGATGGCCCAGGAAAACCGAAATTAAAAATCAAGCAAGCGTAGGCCAGGATGAGGCGGGGGCCATTGGCAATGAAATGCGGGACCAGGGCTGAAATTATGAGCATGCCGGGGAAATCCAAGGCGTGGCACTCACCGTCGTCTTCTTTTGAAGTACCCAAGGAAGCAAAGCCAAGGCTCACACAGACAGATATAAGCGGTTGCACTGAGGGAAACTATAAGGACTAATAAATAAAATAAAATAAATCCTATGGTATAACCTTCTTGCATTTTTCCCCAAGTGTCCTCCACCACAGTCGCCCATAAATAAAGTATTTGATGTGCATGAAGTTAATGTCTTATTATGCCCAAGTTGTCAAAAACAAGCGACCCCGCCTGGCTGTTAGTTGGTTCGGGCCTAATGTGGGTGCGGGATGCCGGGGTACGGCGGTTAATGGGCGTGGATTTTATGAACCTGAGCGGAGGACAGCCCCTCGGAGCATAGCATCCCGTTGCCCGGGTGCTCGGTGTTCGGTTTCTCGGATTCTCAGATTCAGGATGAGCCTGCCAAGGGCTTGAGTTTTGATTTGGCTTAAGTACATCAGCCGGCGCCGCCAGTTTAATGATAACAAACTCAACACAAGTGATAACGCGTCAAATTACCAAAAGCAACGTGCGTGTGCGGGTTGGGGAGTATGAGGTGTAGTAGGAGTGGGTGGTTGAAGAAAATCCAGTGTCATGGGTGTTGTAAATACAATCAATGAATTTCAACTGGTTGTCTTCCCGACCCTCATTCATTTCCATAGCTTTCCGGCAATTGTCGAGCTCCGAGTGTGAGTGAGTCTGTCTGCCACATAGGAGTCCTCCTGTCCTATATGGGTACCAGGTTGGAGTGTGTCTGTGCGAGTGCGTCTGGCAAAACGAAATTAGGCAAATTTAATGAATTTATGCTGGTGGCATCCCCTTTGTAATCCGAGTGCGCGCACAGCAAAGTAAGTGACCTGCTTGGTTCTCGGTTAAGTGGCCTTGCTCGAGCGGCTCGACGGTAATTTTTGGCAGTGGAGGTTGGAGGAGACACTTGGAAAAATGCATTAAATAAAGACTTAAAAATAAAATATAGTTATATACTATCATGATATACGTATAATTTTGATACACGTGCAGCGTAGCTAAAATTGAAGCGTGTGTCCTTTTTTTATCGTTACTCGAAAATGGGAGATGCCAAAAAAGTAAAAAATATCTCATTTTGTGCATTAAACTTTGTGCTATCATTCCTCATACTTTGTTTTGATCGTTTTCGTCCTCGCATTCTGCTACGAGCCCCGAAACAAAAAATTTAGAGGTGTCGTATAATTTTGGGCAGGAGTGTATCTTAAAATTCCCATGGACCTTATTATTAAATAAATTTAAAGTCAAAGGACTCTATATCCTTTACTTTCAGTGTAAGCTAGGGGATAAAAATGAAAATGAGCTGAAGAACCCATCGCTAAAGCAGCTAAAGTCCCTAATGTCGAGTGTGTGGAATGTGGCGTCTGTGGAGCTGCCGGAGGCACTTTGCCGGCAGTTCCAAATGCGATGAGTATGTGGCTCCTTAATGCTCCTCCCGGGGCCAGTATACGAGTATTGTAATCCAAACCTTAAATAATAACAAAAGATTAACAAAGTATACTATTTCTAAGATGATATTAAGCGGTTTAAAGTCTAATATTCGCATCACTTCCTTGAAACTGACCAGAACAAACTTTTGCCCCAAAACTTGATAACAAATTTCCTCAAAGTTTCCAGCTTCGGTTTTACATATCGCCCAATCATAGCACCACTCTCGATTTACCACGCCCCCTTCTGCCTCTCCAAGAGGCATTGCATTGCCCAATTCGAGCAATTTAACAAATGACTTCCTTTGCAGCTCCACCGCAACCGCAAGAACGCGATGTCTTCCCCTTCCCTCCCATGGCAGGGCCACCAATCCGACCACATCCACGTCCCCAGCAGCGTCATTATCAGGCCCGGAGCATCGGCCCCCGAACTTTGGCCATCGTGTAAATGGGGTAAGTGGTGTTGCAAACTAACTTGTCATAAGGAGTCTCGATGGGGTGAGCCAGCAGGCGGGGTCACCCAAGTCACGGATCCCTGGCCAGGGTCGAAAGCGAATTAGCTTCATTGCGTCTAAATGTGGTGTCTAAGGACACGGCGAGATTTCGTTCTTACTCATCCTTTTTACAATAAGGACCTTCCTTATCCTACATTCAATATTTTAAAATATTTTTCAAATATAATACCCTTCAAAGATTCCCTTCTTTTCATCCTTTTTTCCTCCAAGTGTCGCACCATCTTTAATGACCTTCTCCCCCCAAGAAAGGCAGGACATCCCGCACCTAATGGTGTCTGCAAAAATATTTCCTCAATTACGACTACCAGGACCAGGACCAGGACCCTCACTGGGCCAAAGAATTCCTTTTCAAAGAATTTAATACACAATATGTTTCGTCTTTAGGTATAAACACTTTTATTTTTATTATTTTTTCAGAAAAATTAAATTGAAATGAGAAATTCTCTTGTACATACAGAGGTTCTTTTGTATTTAATGGGTTTTTTCCGGTTTCCAGTTTGAGCCATAAAAGGTATCCAAAAATGTAATTTTCCAAAAGTTAATTGAAATATTTATTTATCAAACAAAGGTCGCTCGTCAGCCTTTGTTCATTGTCATCAAGACGGGACAGACGGGAATGATCCTTACACATCCTTATACTCCTTCTTTTCCTTTACTACACCATTTCATACATCTCGCGCTACATCTTCTTAGTTTTTGTTTTGTTTTTTTTTGCGTTTACGTTAGTGATACGGTTTGCATTAAATTATAAAATTATCACATTATATTTAAAAATTGTTTGTTTTTGCGGTTAAGTAAAGAGTGTGTTTGTTTTTTTGATGATTTTCAGTTGGAAATAGCCGACCTTCCTGGTGCAGCGTCAAATAGATAGAATAATACAAAATCATTTAAACATAAATGTGCTATGTTTTCTTAGGGGGGGTAGGGGTTTTTAGTTCTTAAAAAATCAGAAACGTAATCTGAGAACAACCGGCAGCGGTTCGGTGAAAGTTCGGTACGAAAACTTAGGCTAATAACTTAGTTTAACTTAGGGGCTAGCGCGGTTTAGTTTAGCTACTGAATCTCCTGTTTCTATAGCTTCTATTACTGCTCTCTGTTTGGCTACGATTTTAGTCGAAGCGCGAGTGCCTGTTTTCGCCACCGCCGCCGCCACCGCCGAAGCCCCGACCGTTGCTCAGGCTGCCCTTCTTGAAGCCGCCGCCGCCGAAGCGACCGCCACCGCCGCCTCCATAACGAGACCGTCCGCCGCCACCGTCGTAGCGCGAGTTGCGGGCCAGATTCTCCAGGGCAGGATTGATTTCCTAAAAGATAACCAGATATTAGTTTTTATAATTAGACTGGCTAGAAGAGCTTACTAACCTGATTAGCCTCTCTGAGCACATCGACCAGCGCCTTGGCCTGCTTGGCATTGTTCTTGGTGAAGAAGGCGAAGGAGGTGCCCTTGGTGTTGGATCGTCCTGTCCGTCCAATCCGATGGATATAGTCCTCGCTGTTTTGCGGGTAGTCAAAGTTGATGACATATTTAATGCCGTCCACATCTGCACGTAGGTAATGGTCCCCAGGTAAAGAAAGATAATGGCATATTAGTTTCAAGCCTATCCACGACTTAGCTACTAAGGGGGGTTAGGGGTTAAGGTTGTTTAATATTATAATATTAAATAGATACGTTTTCAAATTGCCAAATGATTTATCCGCTGTGCACAGTTGCTTGCAACAATTTTTAGCGTAATTCCCGAGATATTTTGAACACTTTGAACACACTTGTCTTTTTTTAAAGAATATTTTTTAATTACGTTAGCATACTATTACTTTTTTTCGAGTCTATGTAGGTATTTTTTTTTTTGGGTAATTATTTGTTGTTTGTTTTGTATTTTTTTTTTTTGGTGAAAAAAGAAAATGTTTCAAAATGTACGTTACCTTCTTGGTGCTATAAAATTGTTTGAATCAATTTGTTCTCTCAATGAAAATTCTGTGATCTGGCGGCGCGCAGCTCGTGGTCCAAACTCTCCAAAGAATTATTGGAAATCTTTGGCAACTTCGGCGTAGAGAAGCGGAGAGTTTGTTGCATTGAGCCGCGTCCGCCACTGACTAAGCACTCTTCTCACTTTCGGGCCACCGACCGACCACTTAGAGGAGAGACCCGTAAGCGACCAGCATACCATTTACATTTCAAAATTATATATATTTTGGTTTTGAAGGGTTTTTTTGTAACAACAACAAGCGGGCCGCCTTTAAGTCCAGGAGCAGTGGGCTATACATATCGGATATTCGAACGCGGCGGCGCAAACGCAGGCAGTGGTTTTGGTTTTTTTTTGGTGGCTCAGTTTTTTACAAAAGAAGCGGTGGACGCAGCACTTGGGCAGCAGTAGCAGCATCAGCATCTTCTCATCTTGATCTTGATCCTTGGTCACACATCGCCGCTCCAGATCCTCCTCCGGGCAGCTGCTAAGCAAAGTGTGGCAAGTGTGGGTATTGTGATATTGTGCAACATGCTGCTCTATTTGGGTTGGATGATGTTTTGGTGGTGTTGTTGTGCATATCCAATTGCTAGTGCTTTCTTGTTGTTGTGGCCACCATATTTCCATTTAAAAATTGCCTGGCTGTTGGAGCACGCCGCGCCTCGCCTTTTCCTTCCACTCCACTGCTGGGCATTGATGGCATGGTTCAGTTGTTGTTGTTGTTGGTCGGTTGGTTGGTTGGATGGATGGTTGATTTGGTCGCAGGTCGCCCCCAAAAATTTTCTTTCTCAACAAAATCTGGGTACCGGATATGCAGAGGCCACATGAGAGGACGCATGATGTTGGGGATATTCGTTCGACGGACGACGCTCGCTTGTCCTTTTGCCCAAAGAAAATAGATCTCTATATACACACACATAGAGATCATCATATAGTAGTATATACTCTGATATCATTTCTGACGTTTCTGGCAAAAGTCGCTCAAGTAACGAGTGTTCGCAATGGTCGCTGCTCGTTCACTATCCTCCCCATCATACTACCACAAACGGCCTCTGTAAACGAGAAAGAAACAAGAAGAAGAGAGAGAGAGAGAGAGAGGGAAGAGAGAGAGAAAGAGGCAGAGAGAGACACGCACACAAAGACCAAAAAAAAGGTGTACAGGTACAGGTGTACGGGTACAGGTACGGAATATGCATACATATCGCATACATTTTCGTATTTTTTTTTTTTTTTAATTTTTAGCAAGGGTTGGAGGTGCAGGGTGCGGGTGGGGGGCAGGTCAGGTCAGGGCAGGGGTGGGGGGGTTAAAGTTCAAAGTTAATTATTCAAGTTTGGCATTTCGGCTTAGATCTAAGAGAGAGAACTGGAACTGTTTCTGGCGCGCTCACTAGGAATGCTTGGTTGGTTAGACACGTCGCCGTGGGAGGAGCATGTGGTGGTTATGAGGATCTGTGGGTGGGGTTGGGTGTAGGTCTAGCTGGGTGTAATGATGACTGGATTAGATGGTGCATTCGGGTGGTATGTTCAGGTTCGGGTGGTGTGAAAGCAATGGTCTGGAACTCAACGATTTCAAGGCCCCTCCACTACACTCTTGCATCTGGCCGCAGTTACTCAACTACCACTACTACAGAGTAGCAATCTCGTTCCAAATCCACGAAAGAACTTACCCAGGCCTCTGGCTGCCACGTCGGTGGCCACCAGGATGTTGGATTTGCCGGAGCGGAACTCGCGGAGCACAAAGTCGCGCTCGGATTGCGACTTGTCGCCATGGATGGCGCCACAGCGCACCCCAAAGCTCCGGATGAAGCGCACTAGGTTGTCCACGCGGCGCTTGGTCTCCACGAAGATGATGATCTTGCCGGGATTTTCACTGGTGTCATAGATGTCCGACAAGAGGCTCTTCAATCTGGTTGGGGAATCAGACATGGTATTAGTTTCCAGGTGGAATTGCAGACCTATCCTCCACTTACTTCTCCTCCTTGCTGAACTCGTCGCACACCTCCACCACCTGGCGGATGTTGTGGTTGGCGGAGAGCTCCAGCGATCCAATGTTGATCTGGATGTAGTTGCCCAGGAAGTCCTCGGCCAGCTGCTTCACTTCCTTGGGCCATGTGGCGCTCCACATGAGCGTCTGCCTGTCGGGCCGGATCTGTGAGACGATCTTCCTGATCTGGGGCTCGAAGCCCATGTCCAACATGCGATCCGCCTCATCGAGAACCAGGTAGGTGCAGCGTTTCAGGTTGGTGGATCCAGCCGAGAGGAAATCAATGAGGCGTCCGGGAGTGGCGATGACAATCTCGCAGCCGCGCTGCAGATCCCGCATCTGGCTGCCCTTGGGGGCACCGCCGAAGACGCAGGTGTTCCTAACATACGACGACGAACCGAACTCGGTGGCCACCTGCTGGATCTGCTGGGCCAGCTCCCGAGTGGGGGCCAGCACGAGGGCGATGGGTCCGTCGCCACGCTGCAGAGGCTGCTGGTTGTTGATGTGGACGATGGCCGGCAGAATGTAGCCCAGGGTCTTGCCCGAGCCGGTCTTGGCGATGCCCACAAAGTTGGAGCCGCTCATCGCGATGGGCCAGCCCTGTGCCTGGATGGGGGTCGGTGCCTTGTAGCCCTGCCGGCGGATCTCCTTCATCACGTAGTCGGGCAGATACACCTCCGAGAAGTCCTGGATGGGGTTCTGCGCCTGTCCTCGCACGGTGATCTCGTGCTCGTCGCGGTACCTCTGCACTTCGTAAGGCGAACGGGCTGCCACGCTGGGGTGCTCCTGGTAGAAGTCCTTCTTGAACGGTGCCAGGTTGGAGAAGTCCACCGGACGCATTGGAAGATCCTGGCTTCCGCCACCTCGTCGGTCGCCGCCGAATCCTCCACCGCCACCACCGCCGCCGCCGCCGAAACGTCCGCCACCTCCGCGGTCATCACGACGTTTCTCGATGCGACCGTTCCTCACTCCATGATAGTCGCCGCCGCCGCCGCCACCGCCTCCGAAGCGGTTGCCCCCTCCACCACCGCCGCCGCCGCCGCCTCCACGTCGGTCATCGTTGCGATCGCCGCCGCGTCCTCCTCGCGAGTTGTGACCAAAGTCGCGATCGTGGGGTGCCCTGTAAGGTGGACCAGAGGAAGATTAGGTGAGAGAAGGTCAGGGAGGTAAGAAAAGGAGGCTCAAGAAAAGAAATACTTAGTATTCTTTCATTCTGTGCAGCTTCGTTTTCAATATTTGGATTTTATTTTAATTTTTAATAAAAAACTTTAAATATTTTGGGCATTTTCGTGACCTATTTCCGGTCTCTGCTATCTGCGTAGAAGATCCGTTGCTGTACACTTGTTTAATCAATTCTTATCTTCCTTAGTGATTTCTACAGAGCTGTGCACTTTATGGAAAACGAGGCCATGAAACAAAAAAGAACTTTATATAACCTTCAAGAATTTAAAAGCATTTAACTAACTAGACCTCGACAGCTGCATTTTCTTAGTAAGTATTTCTTTTGGGGGGCTGGGCTTACGGCTGGCTTACTTTGCTCGCATGCTGCCGCGCTCTCTACAGACGTCTGCTAGTTGGGGCTTAGAGATATCAACTGACTCGGCTAGGTGCCTGTGCCTTGGAAGGAGGTCTTAGGTCTTGTCTTGGCTCTTTCGACGCTGCTAAACAGCTGACATGGACATGGAGTTGTGCTACAACCGCAATAAACTTAAATAAAACTAATTGCGTGTTAGGGAAATTAAATAAATTTCGAATAATACAAACAGTAAAGCAAATTTGATTGACAACAACATGCAACTTGAGGAGGGTGGCTTTCTAAGCTAGTAAGGCACACCCACCCATACCCACCTCCACACCCACTCCCAGGCAGGGGCACTAAACTGCTCAACTAAACAACCCCGCGTACAAAGCACAGTGTTTATGGGACTGGAATTAATCATCCAAGAGGTGCAGTGGGACAAGGTCTATGCTTCTCAGTCATTTTCCATAAAAATATATAATAGTTTCTACTAAATAGTCACTAGGTTTCTGTTAAAAATCCTCTATAACCCCTCTTAAAAGTTTAAAAATCTTAACCCATGACTGTAGTTCCTAGTTGGCAACACTATTTGGGGGGGAATTGGACCCCCCCACCAGCCTGTCTATTGCTCTGTCAATTTGGAAGCCCCATTCCCCAAGAAATGTTTGTCTGTTTATTTGTAGGCCCAGCGGCACGCTAACTTTCGGGGCCCCCCCCAACTAGCAGAGCGGAAACGGAACGCTTCGAACGTTTATGAGACATTTGGCTGTCTTGTCCCGAGCATGGCATGGCATGGTGGGGAGCGGGTCTGGGAGCACCTTTGACTGGCTGTGTGTCTACCTGTCGCTATTTGACATGCAAAAAGACGAATCGCCAGGCAGCCCGCCAGCCAGCCAGGAGGAACTTGCTCCTCATCATAATCAATTGGTGTCTTTTTGGATATTTTAAGCTAATGGGGGCGTTTATGCGAAGAAATAGAGAGGTTATATGCCTCTTAGATAATTAAAATGTATATATTTTACAATAAATTATATTTAATTTTTAGGTTATAATTACCACCTTAATTTATTACATGTTTTTAATCAATTTCTAACCCCTAAAACTAACCCTATAAAGATAATTTCCTGAAAACATCGCGATATCTCGATAGAACCTCGTGTGAGCGAGACATCAAAACACGAGACAATGGCATGCCAGTGAGTGAGCGTGATAGCAATAGCCAGTGACAGCCGCCGACTGTTCTACAAGTCACAAAACTGTTATACATGCGGTCGTAGCACGCGAAAAAGCCGCCGTCAACAGGCAAATACATACATACATATCAAAAAAATACACATATATATATACCGTTTAGTAGGGTTGTATGTAGATGTGCGCGTGTTCGTGTTTTGGGCATACAGACAAATTAAAACGCTATAAAAAAGCAAACGAAGCAAAGACACGTTTCACAAATCAAGCAAATTCTTTTTACGACTGTCAGGCATTTGTTGTTCTTGTTGCTTTCTCTAAATATGCAAAAAAAATAACAGAAATAGAAGCCCAAAATGTCAAACTTTAGACGACCATGTGTTTTTCATTTTTTGTCCCTATCTCTTTTCCTCCACTGCTTCCACTAATTACTCATCACCTCTCACTCGCTTACGTACAGAGGTGTAGAGAAAAAAAAAAAAAAAAAACGGCCCATCGAGGGTGAGAAAATGGCGTCGAAACGAAAAATCACATTTCATAACCAATTTTAGATAGATTTTCTATATATAGATATAGATTACTTACATTATTCCTGCAATTTTGAAATCCTCTTTATCGTCTGGATCTGAGAAAAGCGATTTTCTTCTTGGTTGCTCTGCCGTCGGGAGAGAATCTGGACTCGTATCAGAACTGTTTTGAAACGCACGCTGCGATTGGGTCAACACTCCTGAAATGGGATATAGCGGATATATAGTCCGATTCCTGGTGACACTCCCGTGGAACTGTTGGCGTTGTTCTCTGCAGAGCGTTGAAGAAGAAGCGCTGCTACCGCTGGAGAAAAGAAAATGGCGACGTTGGGTTACACATTTCTCTAATCGTGAAATCGGCTGCGGAGAAATCAATAGCAGATTCCGCCAGCTGCAGGCAGCCGATTTTGGCTGAGCAATATATTGCACAATTTTTAGCATGCTGCTTAGCCTAGCTGCTGCACTTTTATCCCAACGCGGTCGTTTCTTTTCCGGCAGCGCGCCGTGTCCCGTGTCTTACCTAACCTCTCGTTCTCGTTTGAAAAAAAAGAAAACACTTGCGAATTAGGGATGTCGATAATCTTAGTCATATCGATAACTCACCTAAATATCGAAACATTTTTTGGTGAAATATCGCATATAAATTTCCCCTGGTCACACAAATATCGTATTTGCACAAGAGCGCCAAAATTAACTAGTACTACTGCTTGGGCTCTAAGGTTAAATAGTTATATTTAAAATAATTCTATACAACTATAAAATTATTTCGTTTCATAGCTAAGTTTTACTTATTTATTATTTATATGTAAATTCTATAGCTATTTATTACTACAAAAGCAATCTGACGTGAAGATCCTCAAACTTGCAAGGCACTTTCATCAAGGAAAAAGATTTGATTAGAAGTAGATTAATAATAATTAAGAAGTTTTTAAATAGTAGAACGAATAGATTTCCTGTTACCGTATTTTTTTCTTCATTTGCAAACCGGGCGAAAAGCTATGATCACTCCAAAGGACTAAAAAGTCCCTCTTTCGTTTTACAACACTGCCCGTTGGGAGCATTGTTCTAAAAAAAAATACCAAAGATGTGGTATTTAGTTTGGCGGTAAAGATGCATATTCAAATGAAGACATTTTTAAATGCAAAAATAAAATATATCTAATGCAATTCCTGCATATTTTAATAGTTTAACTTGATTAGAATATGGGAATATTCTTAAATGTTATTTTGTTTGACCTAGACAGCTAAAAAAGGGGCGGAAAAGAGAAATAATATTCCAGAGGAATTTGAGTAGAATAAATTATGTTTACAGGATGTAAATATGTTTTAGACTCGCCCGTAGCTGAGTCTTAAGAGTCGATAATTTATTAAATTTTATAATTAAAGTTATTAAATAACAAATCAATGTGATTTATAATAAATTTTCAAAAGAATTCCCATTACAAACCGAGCAAATGACAGAAACTGCGGTACATCTTGGCCCTCCTGCCCTGCAAACAGCCGTAGAGCTCGTTGATCTTGAGGCAGTCGATCTTGCTGATGGTTTTCCGCTGACCGATCCTGACTCCCGGCTGCAGAGGAGTCATGGTCGGCTTCTCCCCTTTCCGCTTGCTGAAGTAAAACTCGCCGTAGTGCATCACGGAGTTGTAGTCGTAGTCGAAGGCGTACTTCCCCTTCTTCTTCGAAACCAACTTGAAGTTCTTGCGGAATCGGGGCACTATATTCTCCCAGTGGATCTTCACAAAGTTGTCGCGATCGGCTCGCGACTGTTCGTGATATATCCCAATGGCGTGCATCAGCTCGTGCATTATCCTTCCCTCGCTGCTAAAGCAGTGGGCGCTGGTTTCGTCAGGCCTCTGTAGGGACACCACCTGCTCGCCACCCCTTCTGCCCACGTAGGACCAGCATCCTTGAGGTCCTTCCTCCGGCGGCTCGATCAACAAGTAGTCCTCCACTTCCCCGTCGTAGGGCACGAAGCGCACACAGGTCAGCGAGTTGAAGGTTTTCAGGGCCTGGACGATGGCTTCTCTTTCCTGGTTCACGTAACGGGGACTGATCTCGAAAGGAATCGTTCCATTTGGCCAAAGGCGCTTCGGGTGCCGCATGGGATTCACTCCCAGTCGCAGGGTGATGTAGGTGTAAGGATCGATGGCGATATCCCCTTGGAACAGGCGTGGCATGGTCTCGGGATCATCGATACCCAGGTCATCGTCCCCGATATCTGGTCCATAGGGATCATACTCGTCTAAGAAGGGTTCAGTTCAATAGAAAATGACTTTATAATAACAAAAAAAATAGATACGAGACACACCTGCTGCAATGCTGGTGAACTCATGCTCGAAGAAGTCCACTCCAGCTGGATGCTTGCGGGCCGGGAGCTTGGCACTTTCACTGCCCAGTGGCATGGATAGCACCACTAGCACCAGCACCACCGACGATCCACTCCACTGTGCACACATTTCGGACTGAGCTGGGGCTGGGATTCGACTGGCCAGCGGGTGTGACTATAGTTCCGTTCGATCGCTATTTGCTCAGAGTATCCACGCCATGCCGCATCCAAACCGAACGGCTGCACACGAAATTGGTAACTGAACCCATAGCTCCCCAGCCCATGGGCCCAAACAGTCGGCCAGCAGCAGCTAACCAACGGACTAGCAGCGACACTTTAATTTATTCACAATGTGCGAAAAAATAAAAACTAAATAAAAGCCGAATGTTGGGCAGCCCCGCCACGCAATCCACGTTGAATGTAAACACAAATCCCAAACATTGCACCTCCCCTCGGTGGCCGTTATTAAGACCTAATCTCTAAGAGCCATCTCAAACGAGGCCTAATCTCTCTGATCACACACGGCTTAAACTCTCTGATCAAACCTAGTCTAAACTCGACTGGGGGCTCTCGTGATTTAAGGCCTCTAAAGTGGCCAAGAGCTATGGCCAGCGGCTCTCAATGATTAGTGGAATGGCCTAAAAGAAATGAAGTTGATTTTTTCGGGGGCTGGGTATATTGGCTAAGGTTATATAGTATTTAAATACTTATTTTTAGTTTTTAATATTTTTTGAAATGAAAAAGCTTCTCCTCCATTTCCTCAATAAAAATTCTAATATTTAACATTATTTTTAACTTGAACACTATTATATCTATAATATAAAATATTTAAAATTATAGAGTATTAAGACCATTGCCTAAGTCTAAGTATCTTTTTTCGGCTTTACAACATTTTAGTTGTCGTTGGTCAGGTTCACGTTGGCGCTAAACGTTTAAATGTAATAAATTTCACAAAATTGATTTCAACGTGCCCCCAGCCCCCTCACTGGCACCTGCCACTTCCGCTGCACCTGCCCCTCGGCCCACCCATTTTCCTAAAATACAGGCAGGCCCAACACGGAGCATTTCGTAAACGTTCAAAGTCAATTCAGTTGTCTTTTCGAAAAATACACTGATAATAATAAAGGCAATTAAATACAATTTAATTTTTTTTTTTATATGTTTAATGATAGCCTAAATTAAGTAATTTAATTATTTAATGTTCTGTTAATTTTATCCAAATTAAACCTTTTTTTTTGCAGTGAGGACCAACTCTTCAACTTGGTGTCTGCCACTCTGTCTCTGGATTTCAAATTTGTTTGTTTACCCAGCCCCCCAGTATGATTTTGATATGTGACACCTTGCAACTGGCAACCAGCAACCTGCAACCTGCAACATGCAACTTGGACTGCACTTTCTTGTGACTCCAATTAGTCAGTTGGCATCTGAAACTGTTAATCCGGAATGCCTAATCTCTCCACCGGGTCTGGGCTTATTTGACAATCAATTTTAATCGCTCATCATTAATTAGCCGAAATTAGTTTTCCGTCTTAATTAGCATAACAACAACAACAACACCCAGTTGTAGTTGCCTCTTAAGTCATTTCATCGCGATAACTCCGATTTAGTTGCATTTGCAGCTTGAGGAGCAAATTAAGTTTTGAATTCGAAATTGTTTAGTTAATTGAGATGGTTGGGATTTTGGAGATTAATAGGTTGAAGATCTTTGAAATATGATGGTTTTTTGGGAGCTACTCCTTCTGATTCTTTCCTGATCTTAGGGTTAACACCTTTACCCACTTAACCCTTTAAAAAGAGAGGGGGTCTGAGACTTCGGTTGAGTTCACCACCTGACTTTATGTGTCAGGTGGGCAATAAAAATGCGGCACCGAGTAATTTTGCGCCACACACAGTGTGTCAGTGTTAGACAGCGTTAGAGAAAGAGACGGCAAGTATAAACAGAAAGAGAAGGGAACTCAGAAACACAAACAATCGAAATCCAAAGCCAAAAACCAGCGACTAATTCAAAGTTGTCACGTAATAAAGCCCAGAAACCCCAAAAAAAAATAAAACAAAAACAATAAGCCACAACAATCGTTCGACAAATAATAAAAGAAACAAAAACAAAAACAACAATGAAATAAAGGCAAAATACAAGAAATTTGCATTTCTCGTCCAAGTGAAGACAGCACCATCGACAGCAATCGATGGCGACAAGAAATTTAACAAAGTACAAATTGTTATTTGATTTGATTACGTAATGACGTCACACATTCATCCCCCCCACCCCACTCTTGAAACAGTTTATCATCATCTGCCTTTTGCAATTTGCTTTTGTTTTTGTTTTTGTTTCTGTTTTTATTTCCGTTTAGCTGTCACCAGTGGCTTTGTGATTGTTATTGTTTGTGTTTTTGTTTTTGGTTTTTGCTTTTGTTTTCGTATTCGCTTTGGCTTATTTTGACACCAAAACTGATATCTCCAATTAGATTTGAAACTGAATTAATTGAATTGCATTAAAGCGGTTTCAGTGATTTGTGGCCGTGGTGATAGCCGCCGCACTGCATTAATCTGCATAATAGAAAGATAATAATTGCCATTTGTTAAGCAGCTTAAATGGAAATGGATTTCTTGCCGAGGAATATTAAACAATAAAAATTCCATAAGAAATGAAGCTCTGCTTATTAATTATTATGTCGAAATTAAAGTTTCTTTCTGTTTCTTCCATTCTTTGTTTTATTCTTTTGCGCTTAATAAAGCGGAAGCATAAAACTTTTTTTCTATCAAGATTTTCCACCGCATGGAAAAGTTTTAATTCCGCTAATGTCGATTGCAAGATGGCGAACTTACTGGCTGTTCGTGATGCGTGGGGGATTCCCCACCAGAATTTCCCTGCCTTAGAAATTGTTTGGCCTAAGACGGCTTAACTTGGAAGAAAAAAAGAAAAATCCCGGAAAAGTTCGATCAACAATGATGACAACTCAATGTGCTTTAGTTTTATGAGAAAACTCTATTTAATTAATTTCATTATAAACGTAATTATTGTTTACTCAGCTTAACACTATAATAATTATCTTATCCTAGAAGCAGCTCTTTGTATTAAAACATAAATATGATATAGTATTGAATTGAATTTGCCTCTGAATCTCTCTATAAAAAATACCATATGCCATATTCAAGTGGATTTTTTTTATACTTTTTATGATTTTCCATGGAATATGCGATACGTTTTATAGTTTGCTGACATTTGATGGCACTTGAAGTACGCCTCTGCCTCTGCGTTCTGAATTTTGGATTTTGTTATTTTATTTTTCAGGAACTATTGCAAACATTGGCAAAGACCCCCCACTCCCCACCCCCCCACTTTTCCTGCCAGATTCAATTCGGGAGGGGAAAAAAAAAGAAAAACGCTGTCGTAGGCATTTCCTGAAGTATGCAAATCGATTTCAACGCGGTAAACTGCGAATACCGAGTGAATGTGATAAATAAATAAAAACAATAAGCATAAAAAAATGATTTTGATAACACATCAAAAATTCAAGAATTTGCATATTGCCAGCGTGGTGATGTTACACTGAGATAAACCTTCGATTATGACTCCGTTTTAAAATAAATAAATAAGTCTTAAGATTAGATATTTTTTTGAATAACTAGGAATCAGAAAGCTTTAAGGTCCTTTTCTCTAAAAGAATATTTGAGTATAAAATATAGTATTATTTTCCAAGTGTTTTGGTAAGATCTTTTAGTGCTTGCGTGGCAATTATAAATTATTCACGTTGCTAAATTTTTATCATATCAATGTGAGAGTTGCCTGCTGTCCCCTGGGGCTATGTCACTGACGCCCTGTATCTCATTGCATCTGTCTCTTTCTCTGACCCCTCTAACCCTCTCCATCTCCTTCTCCCCTCTCACTAACTGTCTCTTTCTACCTCTGGGCAGCACGCAAAGTTCATTTAGATGCATGCTCCCAGATAGACTGCGAGCCATTCATTGCCCCGCCCACCTGGCTGCCCACTTTTAGGCAAATTGCTCGAAATTGTTTGTAGGCCGCAGGGCCAGAAAATCGCCAACTGCTTGAGTCGGAAATTAAAAGCAGCACTTGAGCAGCAGCAGCTCCCAACCCGCCGCCAACGGGCGGCTATATCTGGCAAATGAATCAGGCCTAACCAGGCTGACACCCAAAACGCTTAGTCCTGGCCATAAATTCAATTTGTTGGCTGGCTGCCTCGAGTCACCTCAGGACTTACATTCTGTGCTACACGGTTAACAAATGTGTACTTACTAGATAGAAGCTTAGTCTCAGACCTTTTTCATATTTCCTATTGAATTGTAATTTTTTTTCAGTGTAATCTGCTTTGTCCTGGACACGTGCTAATGCACAAACCTGGCATTCATTTGTCTTCCACTGCTGCGCGTTTATCACATTTTATCAATTGTCCAGACGTATCCGACGCTCAATCAGTCCTCGTCCTTATTCCAGCCCAGGAGTCAGTCAGTAGGACACCCACTCAGTAGTACGAAAGGATACTTGGATGGACAGATAGAAGGACTGAGAGTGGTGGTCGTTGGGAATTTGTAAGCGGCACCACACAATTAATGACGAATTTAGAATTTGCCAATCTTTAATTACATCATTACAGCTTTAAAGGGTTGGTCTTTTGTTAGGAATTGCGGTTAGGAATCAGGGCTGGAAAATATACTTCTGTAGGATATAGAATATATAATATTATTTAATTTTATGATTTCCCATTTACATAAAGCAAGGAAAACTGAATATTTTATGGCATTAGAGGCCATTTAAATGTTTTGCGACGGAATCTGAGTAATCTTTGACGTTAAGGCCTGAGATTAGCGGAGTTAGGAAGGGTTTAGAGTGGCTCGGAAAAGGTTGCCGCGAATGATTGATCCGCCACATTTTCGGGATGAGAATCCTCCACAGACTTGGCGGTTCGCTGCTTAGCGCCGCGTCGTGTTAATGTCATTTTGCATCCCTAGATTTGCCGAATTATATTGCTGCGGTTGGCTGCCTCATTTGTCGGTTGTTTTTCACAACTGGAGATGGAGGTGAAGCTGGAGAAGGACCTGGAGCTGGAGATGGAGCTGGAGGAGTGACAAAGACGGGCGCCAAAATCAAATGAGTTGGCAACGGCGCGGCGGCCCTTTCCCCTGGGAGGCATGAATTTGAGTTATGACTGGAGCGGAACTTTTACGGGCAACCGTAAATTTTTGGGAACTGGCGGTGGCCCCGCCACCGGCTTAATATTCACACCTTTTGCGGGTCAAAGGTTAGGGGTGGGAGCGAGAAGGGGA